TATACTGATAAGGTAGGGTTTCAATAACCAAGGCGATAGTTAATGGTTAAATTAATAAATGCGCTAAGCATCAAAGATCATGTAGCACATGATAAAGTATAGTGAGGATAGGGATGAGTTAATGATTAGGGGAGTGTTTAAGAAGTCAAAGATTGAACAGCACTTTAAGGTAATATGGTAGTGGAAAGAGGTAGGTAAGGGATGGGGTATAGTATAAGGTAATATATTTATTTATTAAGTTTTAGATGTGGTATTACAAGTAGTATAAGGTAATTTTTTTTTTGCCGCGCCAACATCTAAGGTCATTAGCGGCTTATTCAAGATTCAAGACAGGCGAGCAGTTCGTTTTCAGTCTTACTAGTCCTTATCGTTGACAGGACAGTCAGTCGGGGAGACGAGAAACGTTCCAGTACAAGTATTAAGGGAGGAATGAGGTTGATTTTTTTTTTTTTTTTTTTTTTTTTTTTTTGTCGAGTCAACAACCTGTGTATTTAAAATACAGTGATAGGATGAGGCTTGGAGGCAAGGCCCCCCAGTATAGCAATCATGCTAAAGTATTGTATCGAAAAGGGTAAAAATGAGTTAACGACTAGGATAAGTTGACAGAAAAAGAGAAGGAAAGGGAAAGGGGGAGAAGAAAAGACAAAACTTGTTGTGGCGAGGGCTGAGGTCCAAGTCAAAGGTGATTCCCTATATTGGGCCTCAGTCTCCGTCCCCCGGCAACGAGCAAGGGATTTGGGGGTGTCAGGGTAGATAATGAACGAGCTTGAGACTAATGTAACCGACAAGGCGTGAACGATCAGAAAGGAACTGCGAAAGGAAACTTAGCCTACATATTTTTGGGGGCATTGTTGAAAGAAGAATCTGTCGTCAAAGCAACAGCATGGGGGATTAGGTGGTGGTACGTACGTATGGAGAAAGGAGGACTGGAAAATGGTCACTATGGAGAAAGTTGTCGAACTGTCCAGTGGAAATCTAAATGGAGAGAAGGGGAACATAGAGAGAGGTTAAAAGATTGCGTGCGCATGTCAAAGTGTGTGGAGCAATCTGAATTAAGTAGGAGGAAGGGGTGTAGGGGGAATATGAGTAGGAGGAGGATGGATATCTGCAGTCACTTTGAGTGTGGAGGGAGCGGGAGTTGTAAAAATGGAGGCTGTGTCAATTTGGGACTCGGGCAGAGAAATCTGTAATGGATTTGGTTGGGGAGTTTTAAGAGACGAAGGTTTTCTTATGAGAGGGGGAAGAGGAGACGAAGTGTCTGAGGAGTAGAGGTAAAGGTAGGTGAAGGCGAGTATGTAATAGTAGAAGGGGTGGAACGTTTAGTTTCTCTACTGCGGGTAGTGGGAGGAGAGAGAAGGGGGTGTTCGGGCTGCAGTAGAGATTGAAGACTTGGTCTCGCAGAATGAGACCAAGTCTGAATCTGAGAGTTGCCACCTTAGACGAAAAATCGGTCTCATGTGGCTGGGCTAAACAGTATTTAAGATACTTTTAGAGATGGGGGTGGTAGAAGGACAGGGACATGTGGGAATGGGAGTAGGGTCTCGGAGAGGTGGACAATACGGTTGTGACGTAGTAATAAGGCAGGATGGGGTAGTTGATGTAGAAGGTTGTGGGGGTAGAGGGAATAAGCTGAGAGTGATGGGAGGGTAAGAATGCCTTCTGGAGGTGGAGTGTTGCCAGGGTGGATGATGTAATAGTAGGCATTGAGCAGTGTTCAGAGAAGTGGACAAAGTAGAGCCTGGGATCAGAACAGGGAGAGTAGGTGGGGCTAATTGAGGGAACAAAGCCTCATTGTCCCTGACAAGGGTATACAATCTATTTCGGTCATGGTAAGCCTAGAGTAGGTTGAGGAGAGAAATAGTTTACCCCTCAGGGTCCCCTTGAGGAGTAAGAGCTAAACAACTAAATATGGGATTACCGGGACCATGGCTCCCCCAGGCCATTTAGGACTGACACAGTCAGCCTTTAATGCTTTCATCACAGCTCTCATACCTTGGGAAGTCGATAATGGTTAATGGTTAATGGTTAAAAGCAAGATAAATGTGCTAGACATCTAAGGTCATGTAGCACTATAGTTAATGTTAGTGAAGGGTGGTTGAGTTAGTGATTAGTTGTCTAAGCTGGGCAAAGGAATTGGTGAGCGAAAGGGTTAAAGGTCGGGTGTTAGATTAAAGTATGAACGAGACATAAAGGGAATGTGGGGAAGAGACAAAATGATAATTGTGGATTGGTATTGAAGGATGTGTAAGAAAGGTTTCTTGAAGGCATACAATAGATGGGTTATAAGAGGAAAGGATATGACGAAGGTCAGGTCTGTGGGAGCGGAAAACGCGAATATTCCAATGAAGGATAGTTATACTTTCGTTGATTTAGTGATATAGATTGTAGTACGTGTTGGAGAATTTGAAGGGGTGAGACAGGCAAGTAGGTCTTCTCCACAATCTGACCAATCTTTGTCATAGATTGGGCAATTTGCTGGGGAGATTGAGACTGTTCCGGTGCAAGTATTGAGGGTTGGATGGGGTTCTGCAAGGATGGGGTTACCATATGGGTCAGTTAGTTTTGTTAATGCTATGGCTTGGTTTTCGGATGTTACTGTGACAAGACGGGAGCGGTCGGGTCGGCTACGGAAAGAGACTTTACCTACTTGTTTTTGGAGGCATTGTTGGAAGAGAAGGGTGTTGTCAGAGTAGGGAGCTGTGGGAGGGATCACGAAAAATCGGTCCCATTTGGCTGCACTAAAGAGAGTATTCAAGATTGTTTTAGAGATAGGGGTGGTAGAAGGGCGGGGGCGTGACGAAGATGGAGTAGTGTTGGGGAAGTAGTGCTATGGAGAGGTGGGCAATAAGGCTGTAAGGCATTAATAAGGGAGGATGGGGTGGTTGATGTTGGAGGTTGTGGGGGTAGTGGTGTTGAAGTTGAGCATGCTGGGAGAGTGGAAATGTTCCTTGAGGGTTGATTGTTGGCTACTGTACTAGTAGGCATTGATGAAGGGGTAGTTATTGCAGTGTTCGGAGCCGTGGTCAAAGGAGAGCCTGGGGTCGGGGAATCGGGTGGGTTTACTTCGTTAGGGCTATTTGATAAAGGGGCAAGCCTCATTGCCCCTAACAGTGGGGATATATTTTCATTACTGGCCATGGTAAGCCTGGATTATGTTGGGGATAAAAACAGTCCACCCCTCAGGGTCCCCTTGAGGGGTAAGGGCTAGATAACTAAATCAGGGGAATACCGTGCCCATGGCTCCCTCAGGCCGTTCAGGACTGGCACAAAGTCAACCTGTCATCCTTTCAGCACGGCTCTCACACCTTAGGAGGTGGATAGCAGAAGGGTTTGGTGAAGGGACAGAAACAAAAGTGCGAAGGGAAAAAAAGACCATGCATAATTAGTTGAGTCGAGGGCTGAGTCCCAAGGTTGGGGAGTTCCCCATCATTGGGTCCCAGTCTCCGCCTCCTAAGCCCCCCCCACGACAACAACGGGCAAGGGATTGGGGGGGTGGGAAGTGGATAGTAGAAGGGGTTGGAGAAGGGACGGAAACAGAAAAGGGGGAGGGGAGAAAAGACCATGCAAAATTCGTCAAGCCGAGGGCCGAGGCCAAAGGAAGGCGAGATCCCCAGCACGGAGTCTCATTCCTCGTCTCTTAACCCCCCCCCCCCCCAACAACGGGCAATGGATTAAGGTGGGAGGGGAGGGGTAGTGAGGAAAAGCAGTGGTATAGGTTGCTGTAAATCTCTAACAGCATAGTGTACGGAATTGAAGTGAATTAAAAGTGGAGATTGTGACGAGATAGGAATGTGGCCAATGTGTAACAGGACAAGAGCAGTTTCCCAGCATCTATTCTGCTAGAATGGGATTGGCTAAGGGGAGATGGAAAGTCTTGTAGTATGTAGTTTACTAGTGGCAAGGCTAGACCAGAAAGACTGCCAGTGTGTAAAGAGGAAGGTTTTGAAGCAAGAGTAATAATCAGAGGCTGGTATATGTGAAAATCAGGGTTGTTGGGATACATGAAAAAAAGTGTGAATACAGAAAGTACAAAAGCCAAAGTGGGTGTTTACGGACATAAAAAGGAAGGAACACAAGATGGTAAAAAGGTTAATGGGAGAGAAGAGCATCCAAGTGGACAAAGGCAATAGAAATTATGAAAATGCACCATGTGTGAAGTGATCACCTGTGTCTGGTGCTTATGAACTACCTCAGCACATGTATTTTGCTGGATTACACAAATGGCAACCACCATGATCATTTAAGCCAGCAGGCACTGTTTGACCCTGCAAACGAACATTTCAGGTTTTTTTTTTTTCTTTTTTTTTGTCACAACAGCCCTGGTAATTAGCTATCATTCTAAAGGCATGATTCAAAAAGCTTTTTAAGTACAGCTTTGTTAAAATATGTAATGACCACATTCAATGGTCTAGAACTTGTACACAATTAAATAACTATAATGCAATGTCACTCATTTAGGTATTTAGAACATTCAACCTGTACTTCATAGTTCATACACATTTGACTTGGTACTATTTACATAATATATCTAGCATTTAATATCAACTTTTTATTCACTTCATAAATAATAAAGATGTCAATATTCTAATGAGAACTATGACAGGAAAAATGAGAATTTGTTGTAATTCACTACTTTATTTCAAATTATGGGTTCTCGAAGTCAACAGTCAAGATAAACATTCATGGTTATCCACACATTAACTTTAAAATATAATGCAATTTTTTTTTTTTTTTTACCCCTTGGTGCCGGGTCACGCCAATAGGCATGTAAACAAACCGCTCGAAAGCTGGCATGCAGCCAAACGAGCCGGCAGCGCGCCAAAGCGCGGCAAGCCAGTGATTCGGGTTGACGTCACATACTCGTGCGCTCAAAGTCGGCACGCCGCCTTTGTTTGCTAGAGCGTAGAGTTTTTTTTTTCCTTTTGTACACCCGGCGCCATTGGGTTAATCAACCAATATCCCTTCTTACAATATTGCAAACATGGTAAATAACACCACTGTCAAAATTCTCAAGTTTATTTAGAACCTCAGCTTCTGGAAAAGCCAGCGATTCCTGCCAGTCTTGTACCTGAAAAAGATGAATGCGGGCAATTATTAATAATAATAATAATAATGATAAGAATGATAATTGTAATAATAATAATAATAATGATATGAATGATAATTGTAATAATAATAATAATAGCATTTTTGTAAAATCCAGCCTTGGATGAATATGATAAGAAATTTTAAAAATAAAACATTCCACATTTAGAATGAGCATTAGGCTTATTTAAACCCCTACAGTAGTCCAGGCGACATGACATGAAAAAATTTGTCACGGGTTGAGGAGAGCAGGTCATGGAAAAATTTGTCTGAGAGCCGAGGTGACAACCATATCATAAGAATTTTGGCTGAAGGCCTGGATGATGAGAATGAATTACCACAAGTGCACAAGGTTTTTGGAGGATGATTAGACTGAGCATTTAGGATGGGGATATTGCATTATTCCTATCAGTAAACGAGTATTGAGCGCATCATCTGTGAGCTACGACTGGAAAAGCACCAGATCCAGGTAGGAAACCATTTCCTTGCTCAGGATCCTATTCCTGCCTGCCAGGACCAGTGGTGCAGATAGCATTGGAGAAAATTTTACAGAAAAAATTGAAAAAGGGACATACAACAATGTTACTCATTACTGCACTGCATCATTGACTACCTAGGTATGCTACTGTCTGTACAAGGAAAACAGTCTTTTCCCATTTCTATACAGCATATCAAATGACAGACATTGGAAAATGGCAAAAAATGCTTATACATAAAAAAAAGATAATGTCACAGAACTCTAGAGGTGTGCTCATGAGACTGGCCATTCAAAGTAAGCCTCATGCCCAGACTTTTGGGCTATTTGCTGGCAGTATGCAGATCCAATAAAATATAAAACAAGGGGTCAAACTAAATTTACTGCCTTTACTAAATAAACTTCACTAAATTTTAAATATATGCCCCAAACCAATTAGGATGTAGGCTTACCTTTCTTCGAGCTGAGCCTTGACAACCTGGCGCAGCTTCTGCCTTCGGCCAGGATCCTTCAGGACCTCCTTGTTCACCTTATCCTTGTTAAAGACAATATCTGTGGTGGTGTAGCGAGTGGGCATCATGTGCTTCAGGTTGACAATCTGGGGAAAAAATATAATACTTTAGTTACTATGATAACCTACCGGAGTTCAACTTTCAACAGTTTCAGTAGACTGGTTATGTAAACAATAGATTTTGGGTTAACCCCTACAATCCTGCACAAATCTCTTGGAGGGTGGTTAGAAGGGGCATTTGCATTATTTCCATCAATAAACTAATGTACAATGTACTGTCCATAAGCCATGACAGGAAAAGTGCCGTCTCCAGGGAGGACACTACTTCCATTCCCAGGATCCTATTCCTGCCTGCCTTGACAACTGGTGGCACAGAAAATTTAATAAAATATATTTAGTCACTGCAAAATAAGGCTGATGCTCATATCTTGAGCAAAATGATGGAATTGAAGCATCTGGATCCAACAAATTTAAGTATTCACCAGCTAGTGAAATAAAGGATTCCGTAGTCTGGTGATAAGACCTTAGATTTTAAAGGGCTTATGTTCATATGGTAATTTTTGTGGTACGTGCATTTAGGATGGGGATTCAAATATTTAATTAACTCAAGTGAGGGTTTCTCTTGAATGATAAGGTCTTTGAGCGCGGGTGTTCGCTACATCAAGCCAGACTGTCCCGCTCGAAGTGCTCTGGCATGTCACCACAGCATACAGCTGTACTCCACACCCGAGCGGTTTGTTATGACGCCACAATGTGTGACCTGGCAGTATCAGGTTAAACAATACAGGGGGGTATATATCCTTATGTTAATTCAGGGCATTGTGTGCTGAAAATTAGTATTATAGTTAACCCCTTCGATCCAGACATGAACCTGCTGTTAAGAATGTTTTGGCTGAAGACTGGGGTGACAAGATGGACTTGCCACATGTTGACAATTCTCTTGGGAGGATTATTAGATTTGTTTGGTGATTTTGCATTATTCCCATCAATGTACAAGTGTGGAATGTAATGTCTGTGAGCCATGACTGGAAGAGTGCTGGCTCCATGGGGCCTCCATTTGCATGATTAACATTGTATTCCTGGTGCCGTGACCAGCAACACGAGTTGTATGACAGAACTGAATATTATCAAAAAAAAGAATTAAAAGTCAAATTACGGAATGTTACACATCTTAGTTTTTCTGGCACCAAGTTGTAGACTACCTGGAGAGAGATGGAGTCTGTGCAAAGAAAACAGCCTATTACCCACATGAATAATGCAAATTAAGTCACAATATGGACATTAGAAATTGGCAGAAAAGCTAAACACACTTATGCATACAAAGAGGATATAATATTGCAAATAAGAGGTAATGAGACCTGTAACTGCACACACATTTGCATGCGCCCAGCCTAAACCCTGCGCACCTGACAGTGCGGCCGTTAACATCAGCCTAATGCCAGGATTTTTGCCGATGTGATTGTTATGATGCAACCAGATTTAAAGGGTTAAAGTTAACGCATACTTGCTGGGCCACGCCTATAGCCGTCATAAGAAATCGGCTCATCACATACTAGAGCGAGTCAAACGAAAGTTTCACTACATGTAGTAGACTCCCGTTTCAATAAACCTGCTGATATCAATACTCAAGTAACAGAACAGTTTTCCTTACCCTGATGAAAGGCTTGAGTGTAGACCTGCGGGCAATCTTGCTCTTGCTCATAGACTTCTTGACTCTACGAGGGTATCGGTCAATGCCAACAACCAGGGCATGTTCGAAGGGCCGGTCACGGGTGCCCTCCTCGTTGGTCTTGACCACAATACCCTTCTTGCCGGTGTGACGGCCACCGAGCATGATCACCACGCGGCCAGGCTTGAAGATCTTCACCATTGTGCTGGAAGGTTATTCACTTAATTAATAAAAGCGTTATATCAAAAAAATATACTACAGTATAGTGTAGGATAGAACAACCATTAAAATTCTTTGCTTTCCCTTAGCTGTAACATTCTATTTTCTTTAGCAGAAAACGATTACAACACAAGCTATTGCCCAATGTGTGAACACTATAGGAGTTCCCCTGTCTGCTACAAAGTCAAATTATATATTACATATGGTGTTTCTGCTAGTTCAATCACTGGATCAATCAATTTAATTGTCTAAAAAGTCTAAAAACCATGCTATCATGTGAATCTAAAATTCTCAACCTAACCTTCCTAAATTCTATTTATTCCCTCGCCAGAAGGGGAAGCCCCCTGTACCCCCATTTCATTAGCACTTCGAGCCATATTAGAGAAAACTCAACATTAACAACTCTGGCTGTGTGAGGGTATTGTGGACTATGTGAGCAGTAACATGAAGCCAATATTTTGTCACAAGTGCATGGTGTGGAATTCTTGAAACTGCTGCAATCATGGTGCCAAATCAGTCTTTGTTTAATGCAGGGGGCTGCTGCTTCCAATTCCCACCCAGGAAAACAAAGATCCTCCATATATTCTCCACGTACTCATAGCAAGAGATACCGTTAGACAGACTCAGCATCAGGCACACCTGCACGCCCGTCATGCTCTACCTTGATGCAGGTTGTGCGAGAATTCCACTAAAACTTGGGCTCAGAACACATGGTCAAAATCTACTGCAGCGATTCTTTAAAATAATTTCCTCCTCTCACTACAAGCTTCTCCTAATTGTACATTTCTTCCTATAATTTACAGCCATGGTCTTTCTCTCCTGGGTATAACAAATTACAGCTTAGGTTCTCATACAGAATACCAATGTAATTCTTAAGAGCCTGAACAAGCACATTACCCACTACAATTAAAGGCTTTTTTCACACAAATTGCCTGGTATTGAACAACCTGCTGGTAACTCCCACTCTGAAGCAAGGCTGTATCTGGTTCTTCAGACTCGTCCTGCACTGGGTTGTTCTTGAATGCTAATCATCGAGCCAAATGTGCGACATGACCGAAACTAACGCCAGTTAAAGTAACACGTGCAATAAACGCAATGGAAAATTTAAGACAATTAATTTCGTTTCTATAGTTCGTTTACTCCCTAAAATCTATGGAATGAAGATGTAAAGATTCCAAACATGTTACGTTTTCACAAGACCATAATTGTGCGACATCCAACCATTAAATGAAAATTTCTAAAACCTAATCACGCAAGAAGCGGTGCTGAATTAATTCTAATAAAAAGTATTAGCGATTCACTCTTAGCCTGTGTCATGCCGCATGAAGAAACGTTCGAGAATAAGTACATTTCAGTTAAACGCGAACAATCGAGATATCACAAACAATCACTCTTTCTAATACAGTGCGGATGCCTTATGGTTGAAACTCTCAAGCGAGCTTAAATAAACGTGGTGCGGACATCACAACATGGTTTTGTTTACATCTTCACTCCCATGGCCGCCTTTCATATCCAGACTTTTTTCCCAATTTATCAAACAAGACTCGAAATCTTCGTCGTCTATCCACACACTATCCTCTAGTTCATCTTTATATCAACCTGATTTGCAGAAGAGAACGTCAGATGATGCTCGACTGAAAGGATATTCCTCGATATATTAAATCTTTGTGCTACACAGTAGATCGAGACTCACACGGACTCTCGGCGAAAAGAAAAGGAAGAAAGGACGACTTGGCAACCTCGACTAACACGATGGTTCCTCTCCGAAATTTTACGACTGAGGTTTCGACATCTCTTGAAAATATTTGGGGGGTTGCAGTTGTTGAAGTTTGTTCAGATATGCTTCCTTATTTATAGGCATGCGCTTTGTAAGAAGGAAGAAATATGAATATAACTTTTGATAGGATAATATACAAACTGCAGAACCGTCTTCACTTATTACCGCTCTTACTATCGTATTTTTCCATGTGTTTCTGCTAATGTATGTTTTAAAATATTACCCTCAACCACAATATAAATTTTGTAATTGAAAGTATAAATCCTGATAAGAAAATAAGATAAATGGGTGCATTACACCATATTTCTTCATCCATTGCAAGAAAATTTATATATTCCCTTTCAGTTCATCAGAATAAATCTAAACACCTAAATCGCAGAATATATCAGAACCAACAATAATGCCAATAAAAAAGTTTAATAGATCTATAAATCGACTAAAATTTGTATTTCCATTCCTCAGAACCCCAGCTGTTTCCTATCGCTTCAAGAGAGACGAACGTAAACAAAGTGTGAATGAAAAACTACGTTCATTCAACCTTGAAGTCTTCTCTAGATAACTTCTCTTCCGTTTAGTTTGTGGATTTCCTTTAATTTCTGCATTTTGACTTTCTTAGAGTGAAAGACGGAGGTAAACGTTTATTGCTTCGCTATTTATTGTGCATATTAAGTATCATTTTGTGTGTGAGAGAAGAGGAGGAGGTGGGCGTGTAATGTCTTTTTTCTGTTTCCATTTATAAAGCCTAGGGTTGCAGAAGTGTCAGTAGCAAAGGATAATGCATTTACTTGCTTTTGTTGTTCTAACGTGTTAGATATACCAGTAATATATATATATATTTTTTTACAAGTTAGATTGATTCTGTAATCAGATTTCCTACTCCCTCATCAAAACTAACAACTTGTATTATAATAGTACTTAATAACAGAGTTTCAGATTTGCAGTGAAGATAAATGCTATTTACTTTATCAAGGATCTCTTAGTAATGTGCCATTTTGAAGCCACAAATGTAAAGTTTTCTCTTATTAGTCCCTTGGAACAGTATTACCCATGGTTATCTTCATGATATGGATGCACTGAGCTAGGGCAAATTGAAGGTGATATTTGTGTATAGGGCAAAAAATTGCAGTTGTTAATACAAGGTATAATCTGCAGACATGAACACTCATGCCACAAGTAAAAGAAAAATATCACAGAACGTGCCACTCACAGCAGAAGTCCACTTTTAGAAGCAGTCACGGCCCAATTTTTTAAGTGTCATCAAAGCAGTTATGTTTATACATCAGAAAATGCATAGGTTATATTTCATCCACGTTGAATTATGTTACAATTCATTGTGAGATCTTTGATGTACTCCAACCAACATTCCTCCTTTGTGGTTGAAATTGATGCAATATATCAGTAATAAGAAAGAGAGGAGTAATGAAGAGCTAGAATTTTTATTTTATTTATAATTATATTTTGTTTGATCACTACTCTGCTAGATGTATTTTTTATTGCTAATGCAATGTGAATGTATGAATTTCCTCTAAATCCAGTTATCAGAATTCTACAAATAATTGATAATTATTAAGAAAGGCTGTTAATTGATGTACAGATAGTCCCCTACTTAACCCCTTGATGCCGGGTGACGCTGATCGGCGTGTAAACAAAGAGCTCGAAAGCTGGCGTGCAGCCAAACGAGCCGGCGGCGCGCCAAAGCACGGCGAGCCAGTGATTCGGGCTGATGTCCCCTACTCACGCGCTCAAAGTCGGCGCGCCACCTTTGTTTGTTTAAGCGTAGAGGTTTTTTTTTTCTTTTGTACACCCGGCGCCATTGGGTTAAGAACATTCTACTTATGAACATTCCATACATACAAACAAAATTTTTTAAGTACTAAAGTCAAAAAAATAATTTGAAAGATGCTAGCAAACTTCAAATTTCCCAGGCACGAATATAGTTCAAGAGTCTGGTACTGTATATGGTATGTTGTACTTATTGGGATTTATTTACAGGTATTCTTAATGTAAACAAAACTTTAAAACAATGGGAAAAAATGTAATGGAGACCCGACTTTCAACTTACAAACAAATCAACTTACAAACAGCCTCTCGGTCCTCATTATGTTCTTAAGTTGGGGACTTACTGTATTTACTTTTTATTGAAAATTATTGCTGGCATGAGTGATACTGAGAGGTTTTCCTTATTCCTGCTGATAACAAGCAGTCTTTGTCCTAATACAATGTTTTCTGCCCATGTTTATGTTACTGTTGGAAAGAAGGAAATCATGATTGTATGTATAAATTCTTAATGAAATATTCTGTATTCTGTATTTAACCCATTCGCACCAGGTGTCACGTATACATGCCATGCCCACTGTGAGTTTACTTGTTTACTTGTTTTTACACATAGATGGCTACACTTGTACTTGTACTGCCTGTCTTGCCTGTTTGCCCTCTTCTTTGATTTACAAAAATATTTTACGTTATCTTATTTTGCTGTTACTGGTGTTTATAGCATTATAGTAATTATAATGTTTATAATGAAAATAACCATTGATATTCATAGCACTAGTAAAAATACATTTTCCCGCCGATTCAAGTAAAGGTGAAATCAGGTAAGGCAGATCCATCTATGTGTAGAGACATTTCACAAAAAATTTTAAAAATAAGCACAGCATTTTCCCCAATTTTTTTTTTCATTTTTACCCGTCGTGAATGGGTTAATGACTACTGGTTTACAACACCAATAGTCTATCACTTATCTGTAGTCAGATAACACTCTAACCTCATCCTCACTATCTTGGGTGATACCAGATAAGTTTCAGTAGCGTCAACTGGCATCTTATTAGCCTTCTAGAAATCATCTTTAAAAGTTGCTCTAAATTAGAATATGTTAAGGCAGTATTGAACTTAGGTTTTATGACTTTGGTCATAATTAGGATCTTTAATTATTATTGAGGCTGTCACCATTATTACTTTTGGTATATCTGTACTGATATTTCTTCTCATTGGTTATGCCTTTGTGTATTCTGCTGTCATAATGTGGGTCTTTTGTTATATCATATAAATATTTGTCTCATATCTTTGATGTTAAGGATTGCAGTAGTATAGGTAAAGATCTGTTCCCCCAAAACATGGAACAACAACAACCAAAAAAAAACAAAAACAATTAAGTGTTGAAGTTGTTTTGATCTGCAGTTTCTACAGAATACTTTCTGACATCCCTTGCTATCAAAGCAAAGATTGTCAGACAGTGAAAGAAGAGCAGGCCTTTCTGTTATGATATTTTGTTAGGTATTCAGCCTATTATAGTTATTTTTTATATATTTTGTCAGTCAGAAGTATAGCAAGTGTAGCATATATGAGACATTTGTATCTTCACTGTTGTATCCCATGCTAATGTTTGGCTTAATCATGCACATAGAAAGTAATCTGGTCTATTGATTATAATTATATTAATTTCATATCACTGTGGGATAGATATTTTTGCATGATTTTTATTTTGTTTTTGTCTTGTGTTAACTCTCTCTTTCTCCCACTCTGTCCCATCAGTGGCCACATGCCTATTGCATGCCCCTTTTATACTTTTATTTTACCTTATTTTATTTGCTACTCTCACTTCTATGATATATATTATGGATCATTTTCTGTACTGAATCGAATATAGTCTTCAAGTAATATATGTCACAGACGATACCTCAGAAAAGTCACGTGCCCTCCTGCCCTACACTTTTCCTCCTTGGAAAAAAAAGAAGTATATACGTTAACCCCTTGGTGCCGGGTGACGCCGATCGGCGTGTAAACAAAGAGCTCGAAAGCTGGCGTGCAGTCAAACGAGCCAGCGGCACGCCAAAGCGCGGCGAGCCAGTGATTCGGGCTGATGTCCCCTACTCACGCACTCAAAGTCGGCGCGCCGCCTTTGTTTGTTTAAGCGTAGAGTTTTTTTTTTTTGTACACCCGGCGCCATTGGGTTAAGAAGAAAAGAAACATATATGATACCTCTGTTTCCTTTTGTATCTCTCTCTATTCATGTGTCCTAATGTCCTTTTCCCCCTCAACTAACCCTTATTCACATTCAATTTGCCATCTGTCTATTGATGATTGAAATAAGACAGACTGAATATTAATTATATTGGGGATAGGATGATGGTATGACCCTTTCTTGTTTTTCTGTCTGATTAGGTGGGATGACTGAGAGGGAGGTATCAGTCACAGTACTGTTCTTTGCTGGAGCACGTGAACTCGCTGGCATAGAACGTGCCACTCTAACCTTGACAGCGACAACAACCCCAGAGCAACTCCTGTCACAGGTTGTCCGGTCCTTTGGGGAGCTAGAGAAGATCCGAAGGAGTGTTATCATATCACTCAACCAGGAGTACTGTGCACCCGGTCAGGACCTTGTGCTTTCAACAGGAGACGAAGTGGCAATCATCCCTCCAATCAGCGGAGGTAAAAAGCACAAGGATAACCCCTACTCAATAATTATATTTCTTTTATACTTTGCTTAAATTTGCTTACAAGTAAGGTTGCTGCTGAAAAAAAAGAATGCTTGGAGTGAAGGCCTGTGCATTCAACTACGCCATTTTCCCATTTACTGCAGAGATGATTTTTTTTTATGGTTCACAATATGGGTTGGTATTAAGGGCTCTCCTGGCCTACATGGTGGACTAATTTGTCTCTGAATCCCGACTCTCGCTTTTTCAATATTTTCCTTTGCGTGTCTGTTGTCATGCATATGTAGATTTGAATTCACATTTGAAAATATCTGTGGAGACGACTAGAACCCTGAGATCAAAATGTCTAAAAGTGTGTGTAAGATTACTAGGGGAACAGGGAAGTCAGGCCGGGTTGTATGCAGATCATGAGATCTCCCACTGCAATTGGACTGCCATGGAAAGTTGGCAGTAATGAACTCGACAATATACAGTTCAGGGAAATAAACATAATAAAGACAATAGATTGTTCTTGGAAGAAAAATGAT